CACCCTAATTTAAGATGGCTGCCACAACTAATCAACAAGCAACACAAGCATGGCCACAACTCAGTTATAAGATGCTAAAAGTCGGTGTGGTAGTAGCTGAGAGTCATCCGCTGCACATCAAGCACCTACACATCACATTAGATGGAGGTGGAGATCCCGCTAAAAGTTGTTTCTCGCCGTGAGATGATTTTCAATTAAAGCTGGCTTTCATTTAAAGTAAAAACGATTAAAGTTTTATTGTTTTTTCCACAGAGAGTTGTGTTCTGATGGACAAACTCAGGAGCCGTGTGTTTTGTTTAAAGTAATAAACAGATTAGGACCCAAGGATCTCAGTTTTCATGTGAACATGTTAATTTTCAAATCATTTCTGTGTATCATTTTGGAGGAGAAATTAAAATCTCACATTGCTCTCAATTAACCGCTCATTAAGCACTGACAATAACTAAATGTAAAGAATTAAAAGTTTTGCCTCCTGTCTCTGATGTTTGTTTAATTTGCAGTTTTCCGCCTCCTTTCAATCCTTTGTGTTTAGTTTTAAACTACATGAAGCAAATTCACTTTTCTGATCCCAGAAGTCAAAAATCAACCTAATTTGCTTTTCATCAGCTTTGCACCTGTTTGCAGGAGATTAAACTGTTTATCTAATGGGGCAACACAGATCTCACTTGGAGAAAAAAAAACGAAAAGCTCATTAAATTTGTTTATTATCCAAACAGAAAATTAACAAATCTGGCTGCAGCAGGAAAAAGGTCCTGGAGGGGGAGCATTAGTTGTAAATCCAGCGGAGTCCCCCCGACCTGCTTTACGCTGAGCTCCTGGCGCCAAACGTCCTTGAGAGCTCGTGGTGTTCATCCTGAGAGGGTTATTATCTCGCAGCTGACGCGATGCTGGGAGTTAAGAGCCTGCCCCGCTGACGTACGGCTTTTCTTTGTCTCAGTGAAGCGGCGCAATTTGGATGATGCGCGCCGCAGATGTTCAGCAGGTTGTTATCTGCAAACATCGACTCTGTCGGCCCACACCCACGTCCAGAGTCATGTTTTACCACCTCAAACCAATCTGTGGTTATCTCCTGCTGTAAATTAAGGGAACTGAAGGGTTCTGTGTCTCCGTGTCTTTCTGTTCATCTACAAATTTAAGACATTTTTAATAGAATCTCTGCAGATGTTCTGCCTCTGTACAGATGAGCGAAAGTTAAATTCTTTGGGTTTTTCTTTTTTCTGGCATTCTTACAGAATGCGCTCCAAATGTCCTGTTCATTAGTTGACCAGTTTACAGAGCGACAACGGAGCTAAAATGTCTTTTTATTGAGTCTTTTTTAGGAACACTTGGTGAGTTTTGTGAAACAACAACAACAGTTTAGTAAAACTCCCAGTCGATTGAGTTCTTTCATCGTTTTAGATTTAAAGTATTTCACACACAAATAGAAGCAGGGATGCTTATGTAGGCTTTATATGTAGATATATAGATATGTATATGAATGCATATTCATGTGTATGTATGTATGTATATAGGCGTAGGTATGGGCATATATATTTATGGAAACTTACTGCAAAGCCATGAATATTTTAAGTTCTTTATACATATGTATTTTGTTGCTGTGTTTTGTCATGTTCTTTGCAGGTGAACAGACAGTGGCCGGGTGTTTTGCCGTGTGCTCTCTTTGTGTATATTTCTTATGTTTTGGAGTCTTACTTTGTCTTTTCTTTCTTTGGAGAGGATGGCTGTAAGGGGAGAAGGGAGGCCATCTAATAAAAAAAAAAAATAATAAAGATTTAAAGTATTTAAAACAAAAGAGCAACTCAAACATTAAAGTTAGGGAGCGAGGCAAAGATTTCACCCGCCGTCTTTCGTGTTGTAGTTCTGGACTAAAATTAACCCGTGATGGGAAATGACCAAATTGTAGCCATTTTGGTTAAACCTTGAAAAGAACGTGAGGTGATAACTCACACGATCTGTTAATTCTTTTAGTATGTGTTTAAAAATGGTTCTCACCTACTACCAAATATTAGCTCAAAATCATTAAAATTTATTTATTTGGGGGTTGGACATGTTTAAAGTCTTCAAAAAAGTTATAGATGAATATCAGATGATTATTTTTTGGAAATATTAAAATTTGTTCTTTAGTTCTTGGGATATTTTTGGTAATAGACACACTGACAGGCAAAAACATTATCATTAAAAAAAAATCTAAGCATTGCTTTGGTGTAGGATTTGCCAATTTTCAATAAAGCCAAACATTTTCCTTTTAACTAAAGGCAAAAATGTAATATGTGTTTTGCCTGTCTTGTTGTCTACGTATCTTTTTAGTAACCAATAAGTGTCATTTTCTTTACTAACAGTAGGACTGTATGTGATGTTTCTAAAACCATATATGGGTAAAGCAGAACTGTTCCAAGTATAGAACCCTGTGGAACACCATGTAGCAATTTCCATGCATGCATGGGTGCTTTAAATTAATGCAAAAAGTGTTGTTGTTTTTCAGAGCAATACTTATTTTAGGTTGAAGCTTTAGTCCCATATCATTTTTTACACTAAAGAAACTTTAATGCAGCGTTACATATTCATTTTAAAGTGACGACATTGAATTCCTGATCAAGAGAGCCGAATGCCAGCTGAGTGTTTGGATGACAGTGAAGCTAACTGGCTGCTGGACTCCAAAAACCGAACTTAAAACAGACAAAAACTGAAAGACTGCTGGTTTTTGATCTGTGTGTCATTTTAGTTAGCAATGAATTTTATTTGATTTCTTTACTCAAATAAAACAAAAGTGTGACTTCGTGTCATGTTTCTAAACCGTGTGTGGAGAAAACAGAACTGGCCCAATAACAGAACCCTGTGGAACACCATGTAACAATATACGTGCATGAATGCTTTATGTAAATGCATATAAATGCATGATTCTGTCTGAACAATATTTAAAATAGTTGAAGTCAAAACCTTATTGGACAAGGTAAAATAAAAGAAAATTTAATTGTTTTTTAAAGCTTTAAAAGAAGTGAAATTATAATTTTACAAACAGAAAGGACTCAGTGTGTTGTATCTTTCACCTTCATCCTCATTGATTTGTAACACTAAAATTACTGCAGTTTTGTTTTTGTTGTTGTTGAGTGAAGTGGTGTCCGCCATCTTCTCAAACAAAAACATAAATAATGATAAATGTTGGTTTATTGTCGTGCAGCCCATCGACATTCCAGCAGGTAAAATGTGTTGAATCATGTTCCTGTCCAAAAAAAATAAAATAAAACTGTTCCTAAAAGAGCTAAAGTTTTTCTCAGCTTTGAGTCACAGACGCACAAAACATCCAGAAGAGCCTATTTTTACTTAGACAGCAGGGTGAGTCTGAGTGAAAAGGTCTGGATTAAAAACCTCCACGACGGCAGGAGGTTTCTGCTGAAATCGCCTCGAGCGACAATGAATCATCAATTCTTTGCGAGCTCCACAGCCGGTCCTGCTTTTCGTTCTGTACGAGTGGGAAACGGATCAATACAGCATCATAAAAATAAGCCTGATTGTCAGGTCCTGCTGTCAGTCCACACTTCAGGAGCCGAAGCTTTTGTATCATTTTATTTCTGGTCAGAACAGCCGAATCCCAGCTGAGTGTTCAGATGACAAAGAAGCCGATTGTCTGCTGGACTCCAAAAACTGAGCTTGAAACATAACAACAAAATAGACAAACGAGATCTGTTTGTCTGCTGAAATTTGCCAAAGAGGCTGAAACAAAATTATTAAATATAAGAAGAGGAACAGTATTTAAAAGCTAAATGTTGCAAAACATTAGCTAAAAGTCAACATAAACAAACTAAAAATAATACTTTATTTATACAGCCCTTTAAAACAACCACAGCTGCAACAAAGTGCTGTACACATAAAAAAAATAAAAAACAGTCATTAAAACATTAAGATCAATAAAAACAGTTTAGAGCTAATTCAGTCTGTGCTAAAATCCAGGGATTAAAAATGTGTTGTTAAAAGAGTTTTAAAAATGGACAGTGCGCGGCTCGTCTGATGGGAAGAGGGAGATCGTTCCACAGCCTTGGAGCAGAAACGATGCTTGCTAAACTGCAGAAGTACTAAAAGCTAACCAAAAGCTTAATGTAACAAAGGATGTCTAGAGACTAATAGCACAAAGAAGCTAGGTAAATACAAGACAACTGTAACTACAAGCTAAAATGATCAAAACCATGGCTGAAAGCTAAAATGATCAGAACAGTAGCTAACAACAAAAGGCTAGCTAACAGATAGCTACAAATACTTAAAAGCTGGGTAAAAGGATCACAGGATAGCTAAAAGCTAGCAATAGCAAAAGGCTAACTAAAATTTGCTAAAGGCTAGCTAAAAGATAGAAGTATCGGGATGGTATCTCAAAGCTAAGAATTGCACAATAATAGTTAAAGGACAAAAGTAGTGAGAAACTAGCTAAAATCTTAATAGATCAAAGGCCTGGCTAAAAGCCAACAGCACAAAACGTTAGCTAAAAGGAACAGAACTCTAAAAGCTATGAGTAACAAAACAGTAGCTACAAGCTGGAAGCATTAAAATGGTAGTTAATCTATAAAGGTAACAAATTACTAGCTAAAAGGCTAGCTAAAACCCCAAATCTGCATAACGATAACTAAAACTTAAAATGAGCACATAAGTAGAGCAAGTATTCAAAAAGAACAGTTTTAAAATAATTTAAAAGTTTATGTGTGCATTTTGAAGAAACTGTAAATGTATGAATTTTGGGGAAAAACAATCATAGCACTCAACTCCTGAATGAGCAGATCATTTTTTGTACGATTGGCTAAAATGGCGCAACATATTCAGAAATAGTTTGCACATGAATAATAAACAGCACTGCGAACGCTGAATCACGCAGCGAACCAAGTGATCCTTTCAGGCGTCGAGCCAGAATAACGCTCCGTCTGTTGGGTTTGTAGCGTGTCGTCCTGCGGAGCCAGCTTGTTTCAGCCAAACATTAAGTTCGTGTTAGTTTGATCATTTGATTGTTTCCTTCTCAGGACTCCCCTCACATGGTGTCCCTGCCCATGACCTGGGTGAAAGAGGGAGGCATGGTGAGACTCGACAAGAAGTACCTGCAGACCAGCTATAAAGGAGTCGGCTCTGATGATGTTCTCTACACCATCCTAGCTTCAGACGGACAACCTAAATATGGTAAAAACTTCAGTTCAAGACTTGGTGTCTTGGATAATTTATTGTGTGAATGGGTTTTTTTTATTTTCATGGTTTTTATTTTTCTGTATTTTTTTCACAGTTTTTCTTCTTTTAACTTCTAGCTTGTATCACGACGTAACATGCAATACAGCCAATGTTCACAGACATTTGTCACTGTATATTTTACTAATTTAAAAGTATATTAAGCACCATGATGTTTGTTTAATCATTTTTAAATTAACTGACTAAATTCAGTTATGTCCTCACAAAGTTAAATTAATCTATATGTCAAAAGTCAAGTCAAAGTCAGCTTTATTGTCAAAACTGCAATATGTACAGGACATACACAGGACTGAAATTTCATTACTCTCAGACGCCTGGTGCAACAATAACCTTTAAACATTTAATAAGCATTATCATAAAATGAAATAATAAAAGTATGATACTATCTTAAATTTTAAGTATAGCAGTATAAATATAAATAGTATGAGAAGATTATCTATAAGTATGAAGGTCCTGACATTGATATTTGAAGTAAAGTATATGTTACAGGATTAACTAAAAAAATCAACAAACATAAATTTACATATATTTATTGCCCACTGCCAGGAAAAGGTGGGTGATCATGCAATTGCTTGTTGTTTTCAGATATTAAGCTAAAATTAGATGTGGTAGTTACTGTAACTTATTCCCATCACATAAATTGAGCTCTTACTGGTCACTTTAGGTATTTATTTACAACCTCTGCATGCAAGGAATGTGCATTCCTTTAATGAATCCTATTTTTATTGCAATACAAACTTATTTTAAAAAAGTTGGGTCCCAGATACTGAGCCTTGTGGAACACCACCATTCATTTCATAACCAAATATTTACAAGGTAAAATAGATCTTTTAGTAGCCCATTAACCATTGATTTTCAGCCACTCATCTCTTATTGTTTTATATGTTAAAGTCTTTTTACTAAAACACAGAATTAACCCCGCCCATCCTGTCTGTCCAGGTGAGGTTGTTCTGGTGTCCATGCCGGCTGACAGCCCACCTGAAGGCTGGCGTCCCTCACTCGTTGACGACCAACACTTTACTTCCACGACCTCGTTCACCCAGCAGGACGTGAACGACGGCACCGTCTGGTACCGCCACTTCGGCTCAAGCTCCGAAAGCGACTCCTTCCAGTTTCAGGTCGGGGCGGAGTCTCTGTTTTCTAACCCTGAACGTTTTACCACCGTTCAACACACGGCGATGGTTTGAATGTCTTTATTCAGCACAGATGTGTAACTTTTTGAATTCTGACAGTTTTGTTTGTGACTTCACCCAAATTACAGTAATTTAATAATTTTTTAGCACATTTACACTATTTTGCTAATTGCGTTATTTAATGTTGCTTTTTATTTGAAGCACTACAGCCGTTAGTTTGGAGTACAAACCACCTCATAGGTATGTATTTAATGCCACCAACATTTATCTTTAGTTTATCCACTGAGGATTTCACCCGTCCAATTCCAAACTTCATCACCAACACGTTAAGGCGAGATGAACCCACAGAAATTTGTCTTGATCATCGTTAATGACTCATAAATTGGCTCCAAATCCAGTAAATCTCTAGGTTAACTGATGGGGCACTCATCACAATGTTTTTGATGCCTGTTTTTGGTTTCATCTCACGTTCTGGAGGGGAAAAAAGCTAAACTAAAGAGGCAGCCCAAAGCTTGTTGCTGTGTCTAATCACCTCTCCATCCAGCTCCTCAGTTTGGCTCAAAGCTCTTCAATTACATCGTGTTGGATTCAAAACAAGTTCTGAAGCGACTCGTGTCTGTGTTAAAAAAAAAAAAAAAAAAACAGGAATCTGTCTCAAAGTGTTGCCGTTTGTCTTGGTTTTTCAGAAGAAGAGATTAAACTGGACAGTTTGTCAGGATGGCATATTTGTTTTTCTGTGATTTATTGTTTCATGAAATAGTTTGTGTTTCTGATCTGCAGCAGAGCAGACTCACACTCCTCTCTTAAATCTGTATCATTTGAATTATAGAGACCATTTGATGCCTCTGTGGCCTGGTTTTGAGTTCCCTCCCGTCTCCGTTGTTGTTGTTTGTTTGTTTGTTTGTTTGTTCTGTTATTTTAACCAAGTGGTCACAATACGGCTTCTTCCAGTATTGTTGGTGAGTTATTGCCCCACACAACAAGGCAGATATTCACTCAAAACAGTAAAAATAAAATCATTTTACATCTTAAAACACTTTTGCTTTCACCACCACAACTAACATATTGTTGGAAACAGAAATGCCATCAAATCAGTAAATTTCACAGCTCAACGTGGTAGTAGCTGAGAGTTGTCCCCGACATATAATTCAAACACTTCTCAAACCTTTAGCATCAGCTGGACGGAGTAAATGGAACATTCAGCCAATAATCACTGGTTGTGTATCTACACCTGATTAAATCTTAGAGCCATCCTGATTCAAGATGGCCACCACCACATCCAACTAAATTTAGAAAAACACTAAAATGACTATAATTCAGTCAACTGTACAATATGTGCTAAGTTTTGGTATGGTAGTATCTGACAGTCATCCCCAACACTAACTCCAAGTGCTACTTATTATAAGAGATTTTGCTTAATACTTTAGAGCTACCTGTTGGAGCCAACCCTGTTTATCTGTCAGCAAAATATCTCATGAACCACTAAACATAGTGTAGTGACTTAAAGTCAGTATGATGTGGAGTCAGTCCTGTCCAAGATGGCCACCGCAGCCAACCTGTCACAGAAAACACAACAATGTTTATAAATAAGTCAATTCTACAAACATTGAATTAAATAAACTATGGTGTGGTAGTAGGTAAGAGCCATACCTGATACATACATGTCATTTACCAGGTAAGTTCTGGGTACCTACTAGGTAGGTGATGGTGCCTACAAGGTAGGGGCTTATCAGGTAAGTAAGTGCTTGCAACGTAGTAAGTAGGTTCTTGGTACTTGCCAGTTAAATGCTTGATATCTACAAAGTAAGTTCTTACTACCTACCAAGTAGTTGCTTGGTACGTTCCTGGTAAACGCTTAGTATCTACAAGGCAATTGCTTTATACCTACCAGGTAAGTGAGTGCTTGCTACCTACCAGGTAGGTGCTTAATACCTACCAGGTAAGTAAGTGGTTGATACCTACTAAGTAGGTGCTTGATACCTACTAGGTGGTTCTTACCTGGTAAATGCTTGGTATCTACAAGGTATTTGCTTGGTACCTACCAGGGAAGTGCTTCTTGCCTACTAAGTAGGTACTTGCTACCTACCAGCTAGGTGAATGGTACATACCAAGTAAGTACTTGGTACCGGTCAGGTATTTTCTTGGTACGTACCTGAAATGTGCTTGGTTCATACCTGGGAAATACCCAGTCAGTTCCAGGTATGTACAGGGCTGTAGTATTTATTGCTACCAGTTTAAGGTATCTGAATTTAGTAGTCAAGGAATTGTACCTTTTACAAAAAAAAAAAAAAAAAAGACAAAACCTTACTTTCAGTGTTGAATTTACTTTCCTTAACCTTTGATATGAGTCAGTAAGAGGTTTATGTTCAATCAGATCTACAGTACAACCAGTGATTTACGGCAGCGACGCCGCTGACTCAGCTCTGCCTCCCATGGCAGCACATTACTTGTGATGGGTGGCGCTGACTCCTCGGTTTGGGCCGGTGTTACCTTTCCTCTGCCTGACAGAGCCGGCCACAAGTCCTCGGACCTCCTCCCCCACCCCCAACGAGTCGCAGCAGAATAATGAGAACAAAATTGGGATTCTGAGGGAGCGTTCGAGCGTCTTGTTTGATGTCAAGGGTGAAACAAAAGTCTGTTTGTGTTGAAGTGAGGAGGAACTTGGTGAGGGTTATACTCAGCCACCATCTTCTCCGTCACTAGTCAGCAGCTCAGGTAGCGTAATCTCAGTGTCTAATTGAAAAGCTCCACATAAGGATTTAAAGGTGCAGAGTTTAAACGTCAGAGTCTGAGCCGAGGACAGTCAAAAAAGGAGAATATGGGCTTTTTTTTTGTGTGTTCCTTTCGCTCTGAGCATCAGTCGCTATTAAAGCTCGTTCAGACCTGAACCCCTCAGGGTGAGAAGGATGGCTTCCTGCGCTTATAGAGCACATTTTAACCTCAACGCTTCCATAAAGTGCTTCACGGGCTTTCTTCTGGTCTGTCAGGACCCAGATTAAAGCAGTTTGTTGTAGCGTCTTAAACGTTTTACAGCTCCAGCCAGACAATCTCACCTCAGACCTTTTTGTTTTTCCCCGTCAGTAATCAGGACTGTTGACAGAAGGCAGAATGTCAGCTAAAGCTCAACAGCTGCTTTATTAGATTAACATCAGCGTTGGTCTAATTGTATTTACTCATTTAAGTAAAATTTAATTGAATGAAGTTGGTTTAAAAAAGTGTTGAATAGCATCATTCCTCTAATAGTCGTCGACCTCTAGGAATGTTCACTGCCAGTTCAGCTCAGTGTTTGTACCCAAAGTCTTTCACCGACATTAAATCAAGAGACAGGATTTTTCCATCGGGCAGTACAGCGGACAGCCTCTGCTAGTCCAGGTTTGAGGTCATTTTAACGGCTCGGCCTTCTATTGGTTTGTTGCAGTCAGACATTTCTGCGTATTTTGGTTTATTTTAGCCATAAAACATAAAAATGTTTGGCTCATTCAGCAGGTACTGTGACTTTTTTGTAACGTTTATACTTTTCAAAATATTTAACGTTAATTACACATATTCTCCCCATAAATAAACTTTTAGATCTCTTCAGTTCCTTCATGGACTGTACTTATATAGCACCTTTCTATCTGATCAAGACACTCAAAGCTCTTCACAACAATCTGTGCCTCATTCACCCATTCACACAGCTCTATACTAGATCTCTACAAAGATTAATCAGAGCTTTATCACATTCATACACCGATGAGACACACATCGGAGGCAGTGAGGGGTTCAGTGTCTTGCCCAGGGACACTTCAGCATGTAACTGCTGGTGGAATCGAACCTCTAACTCTTGCACTGGAGGACGACTGCTCGAACCACTCATCCACAGCCGCCCAAAACGTTGTTCTCTTAAAACTCTGCTTCAACGATCTAGCCGTTTTTGTCTTCTTGTGATGATTTTAGCTAAAAGCTACAACCCTGCTAATTTTTGCATTTAGCAATGGCGTTCCTGATTTGAGCTTTTAGCTGTTTTTGTGAATTTTAGTTTTTAGTTTCAATTCTGCAATTTATGCTTTTAGCTAAGACTTTGCTGAATTTTCCTTTAAGCTACATTTTCCTGATTTTTGCTTTCAACTGCAGTTTTGCCCATTTAGTTTTAATCTACTGTTTTGCTCAGCTTTTAGCTAGAACTTAGCTAATCCTTGCTTTTAGCTACAGCTTTCCTGATTTTAGCTTTTAGATCATTTTTTGTTGATTTTGGTTTTAGCCATAATTTTGTCAATTTAAGTTTTTAGCTACATTTTTGTCAGTTAGTTTTTAGCTACAGTTTTGCCAACTTAAGCTTTTAGCTACAGTTTTCTCAGGTTTAGCTTTTAGCTTTAGTTTTGTCAGTTTTAGCTTTCAGCAATAGTTTTGTCAGTTTTAGCTTTCAGCAATAGTTTTGCCAATTTTTGCTTTTAGCTACAGTTTTGTCAGTTTAAGGTTTTAGTTCTATTAGTGCTTAGTGTACTCTTAGTTTAGCATATTTCTTTGTTTATATCTTAGATCTTACTACTGTTTTTCTTTTACAATTTATACTTTTGTTGGATGTAACTGGGACTCTATGTACACAATTTCATTCCACCACATGTACCACATGTGGTGCGAACAACAATTAAGACATTTTGACTTTAACTTTTAGCTACAGTTTAGCTGGTTTTACACTCTTTGCTACTCTTCAATAATTTCATGTTTTTGCTATTGTCTTGTTTATTATTATTAATAAAATTATTATTATTATTATTATTATTATTATTATTATTATTAATAATAATAATAATAATAATAATAATAATAATAATAATAATATGTTGGCACAACTGGTAGAGCTGCTGCCTGCAGCGAGCAGGTCCCTGGTTCAAATCCTGGCCCAGGGGGGCCTTTCTGGGTGGAGTTTGTATGTTCTCTCTGTGCATGCTTGGGTTTTCTCTGGGTACTCCGGTTTCCTCCCACAGATCAAAAACATGCATGTTAGACTGATGGTAACTCTAAATTGTGTCTCTAGGTGTGAGTGAGAAAGTGAATGTTTGTTTGTCTCTATGTGTCCCTGTGATGGACTGGAGACCTGTCCAAGGTGTCCCCCGCCCCTCGCACAGTGATTGCTGGACATGGGCACCAGTGACCCCCGTGACCCAAAATGGAAGAAGCGAGTAAAAGATAATGGATGGATGGATGGATAATAATAATAATAATAATAATAATAATAATAATAATAATAATAATAATAATAATATAGCTACTGTCCTGCTCATTTTGGCTGCTGTTCTGCTTGTTTAAACTTGTTTAAGCTAAATTGTGTCTGATTGTTTTAATGTTGACTAGTCAGTTGAAGCCACTCGGCGCTCAGTATTTACTGCATTTTCTAACAAAATGCAACATTTCTTTTCTGTTTTTATTTATTTATATATATTTTTTGTGAACCAAGTGTTTTTTTTAATTTAGATTCTTAAATTTTCATATATGAAGAAAGAAGATTTTTGAGTTTCGGCCTGATGTCGTATTTTATTGTCACCTTTATTTATTTATTTATTTATATGTTTTCATTTATTTATTCATTTATGAGACGGCAGCTGGTGTTTTAGCACATCGGCTGATGAGTCTCAGCAGCTTCAGCTGTGACATAAATAAACGATATTTACACAAACCGGAACATGAGACAGAAACATTGATCAGAACTCGTGGTGGATCGGGCCTCTCTGAGTCAACGGATCGATCAGCTGATCTGTGTGTCTGCAGGTTTCCTCTGAGGTTTCAGCCGTCGCCCGAAGTGACGCTCAGACGTTTACGATCGGAGTCCTCCCTCAGATTCCAGGATTCCCGCAGCTGGCTCCGGACTGTGACCTGCAGATCACAGTGAGCAAAAACTAAATAAACTTTCTGGGTCACCACAAGAACTCTGTAAATAATCCTGACCAAAGACACCTGCAGGAAACCTTGATAATGTTTTTATGTACAGTATCTACATACAGGGGTAAATAAAACACTTCAATCACTTGGAAGAAAACTTTACTTACAGTCTTGAAAAGTAACATTTACAAACTTCATTTGACCTCCTGGGAAGGTGTTGTTTACCTACACTGTCAACTTGTTTATTTGTTTATGTTTGTGGAGGCTCTGGAGAATCGTGTGACGGAGTTAACGCCTTCAGCTCTGTCCTTCATCGACTCAGAGACTCCCAGTGAGAAACTCATCTTCAACATCACCAAACCTTTACCCCCCGGACAAGGTGAGACTCCTACACCCCCCAGAAGCAAACCACTGAACCAACACTGATGTTCCACTTTGTGTGTGTGTGTGTGTGTGTGTGTGTGTGTGTGTGTGTGTGTGTGT